GCTTCATCTGCATGGGAGGTGGGGGAGGGGGCTTTGGGGGGGAGGGGTGTCCTCATCTGTGCCCCACTCCAGTTAGGGGTCTCAGCAGGGTGGTGTCGGGAGGGCTAGGGCAGGTGTCGGGAGTGGTGGTGGTTGTGTCTGGGTGTGGGCTGAAGAGGCTGTATAAGAGGTCGTGTTGTGGAGGGTATGTGGGGCCCATCTAGGGGGCACTGGGCAGGTGGGGTGTCTCCTGGGCTCTCCGTGTGCCTGCGTGTCTGTGTCCTGGTGAGTGCTCGTCTCTGGAACTCTTGGTGTGGGGCTGGGGTCTCAGCAAGCTTGCTCACTGTTGGGAGCAAGGGCTGCATGGGGCTCCTTGGTGGGCCCAGGGCGTCCCAGGTATGAGTGGTTTCCTGTCCCCAGGGGAAGGCACCTGGTGTGCAGCCTGGGGGGCAGCCTGTGGGCACCGCTGGGCCCCACCTCTTGGGCCCCTTCCCAGCAGCAGCCCCTGGACTGGCCACCTACCCCTCCACAACCACCCCCCCACAACCACCCCCCCCACACCCTGCCATGAGTCTGATCACCGAGTGGAACCACATGTTGCATGTCTGCAGCTCAGGTCACTTGGCAGCTGGCCTGGGAGCAGACACTTCCTCCTGGTATGTGCAGCGGGGCTCCACTGGGGCGCCCTGTGGCAGAGGGGTCACGGGAGAGGGGCAGCCTGGGGAGGGGTCACAGGAAGGGGTTCTCCATGGGCGAGCTGCTGTGGCCTCACTGTTACTGCCAGAAAGCTCAGGACCCCAGGTTCTTCTGGGATACTGCAGTCTAAGAGTGGCGTCCCTAACCTGATAGCAGTGCCCTAACCATGCTAGTCTGAGGGAAGTGTCCTCTCCCCACCCTGAGGCCTGTGACCTGACCCTGCCAGGTGGAGGGCTTGTTCTGGCACTGTGCCACCTTGTAGGAACCACTTGTTATGTGTTAGGGGTTCTGCACACTGGTGGTTCAAGTGTTGGTAGCTGAAAGGAGCCGCAGTGTGAGTATTTACTATGGAAGCTACAGGTGCTACATGTTGGGGCTCCCCCCCAGGGAGCCCCACTGCTCCCTGCTGTGCCATCCCCCACTCTTCCCAACAGCCTCATGACTCACCTCCTCACCCTTCAAAAATGTCACCTTCTCAGTGATACCCTCCCTGGTGACCCCATAACTCTTCTCTGCTGTTGTCCCTTCTTAGCACCGGTAGCCATTTGCTGACCACAAGCTGGCTTCTTCCTGGTAGGCTTCAGGAGGGCAGGAACTTGTGTCTGTTGTGTTCGCTGCCCAGAACAGAGCCAGCTCATAGTCACTCAGTAAGCATTGAGTGGGTGGGTGGACGAATGGATGGATTGATGGGTGGATGGGTGGGTGGACGGACGGATAGTGGATGGATGGGTGAATGGGTGGATAGTGGATGAATATATGGGTTGATGGGTGGATGGGTGGATGGGTGGGTGGACAGGTAGATGGATAGATGGGTGGATGGATGGATGGGTAGATGAATGAATATATGGATTTATGGATGGATGGGTGGATGGGCAGGTAGATGGATAGATGGGTAGATGGATGAATGGGTAGATGGATGAATATATGAATTTAGGGGTGGATGGGTAGACGGATGGATCAGTGGATAGATGGATGGGTGGATGGATGAGTGTATAGATAAATTGATGGATGGGTGGATGGTAGATGGATGGATGAGTGGATAGATATGGATGAATGGATGGGAGGATGGATGGACAATGGACAGATGAGTGGATGGACGGGTGGATGGATGGGTGGATGGATGAATATATGAATTTAGGGGTGGACGGGTAGACGGATGGATCGGTAGATAGATGGATGGGTGGATGGATGAGTGTATAATAAGTTGATGGAGGGGTGGATAGATGAATGGATGGAGGATGGGTGAATGGATGGATGGGTGGATGGTAGATGGATGGATGAGTGGATGGATATGGATGAATGGATGGAAGGATGGATGGACAATGGATAGATGAATGGATGGACAGCTGGATGGATGGGTGAATGGATAGGTGAGTAGATGGATGGGTGAATGAGTGGATGGATAGGTGGATGGGAGCGCAAGGCCCAGGGATGGGCATCTACCCTCCCAGGGCAATCAGGTCACCCTCTGGCCTGGACGTGGACTTGAAGGCCCAGGAACTCTGATCTTGTCTCTCCAGCTCCAGCTGGAAACGGAGGCATGGCATTCCTGGCCCCCCAGGCATAGCTGGCCAGCAGCATTTCTGAGAGCTAGGAAGCAGGCAGGGCCACAGGACAGCCAGACCCCAGCTTGGGCTGTTTGGGTTCCTGACCTGGGGACAGATACAGGTGACCAGCCATCCAAGTGTGTCTGGGATTTGGGTGGTTTCCAGGACACATGACTCAGTTTTACAGGATTTTCTGGAAAATGGGGCTTTCAGAAGTAAAACCAGCTGCCTGAGGAAGGATGACAGACACTAGACTGCCTCTCCTGCAGGACACCCCCAAAGAGTCAGGATCCAGTGTCCTCTCTGGGGCCCACCTCAGAGAGGAGACAGCTTGTGTGAGTGTGTGAAGTGGAATACAGCATTCTCCGTCCTCAGGTTTCACCTGTGTAGGTTGTGGTTCAGCCTCTACTTCCCCTTCCTCCTTTCTGGGTGTCCTTGTGCAGTGAGCAACCTTCACAGGTGTACATGGCAGCCGTGCACTGGGCCTCTCCTGTCCCTGCAGTGTCTCTAGGTCCAGGCTTATTCTCCTTGGGCAGCGGTTCTGCCCCAAGCCTGATCTGAGCTGATGTCCCCCAGCAGTAAGTACGGGGCTCCTGGGGGTGATTGGTAATGATCAGAGCTGTGGGTCTCAACTGGAGCCATACCAGAATCCTCCAGAGGGCCTGATGACACATGGTTTGAGTTTCAGATTCAGCAGGTCTGGAGCGGGGCCTGAAAACATGCATTTGCATTGCTAATAAGCTCCTGGTGCTGTTGCTGCTGCTCCAGGTACCCCCGTTTGAGAACTGCTAGACTAGGGCCCGTGGCTTCTGCAGAGACCCCCCCCCCCAGGCCCCCATACTCTGCTTTTGGTGAGACTGTCCAGAGGTGAGACAGGCCTGTCCCATAGGACACGCAGAGCCTAACTGATGACAGCAGTGACAGCTGGTGGCTTCTCGGTGCTGGCCCTGGGCTCAGGCTCAAGACAGAGCCTCATCTCACCCCATCACGTGTGAGGGGCTTGATCAGCATCCCCATTTCACAGATGAGGAAACTGAGGCTCGGGGATGGGCAGAAGAGGTGGCACTGGCCCAGAGTCTGTGTGTTTGACGCTTAGCTGAGCAGCACGGAGCCAGTGAGGCTGGCATCCCACCGGCTTGTGATGTGGGGGCTCCTGCCCAGAGTGTGGCTGGCACACCTCTCCGGAGGCCCTGCCCCCACCTGGCCCTGCTGTGATCAATGCTGGTTCTGCATCTTCTCCTTTATACTCTGCCAGACACACAACGCGGGGCCCGTCGCTTTTGGGGGCTGTACCCCATCTTGGGTCCTGGAGTGGCCCTGGGGAACAGAGGCTCTGAGGGGCTGCCTTGAGAGGGGCTTCTGGCTGAGCCCGCCGTGGGATCTGCAGGAGGGGCTTAGGCCATGAGGGGGTCTCCTGGGGACTCAAGAATATTCCGGAGCATAGCCAGTGCACCCCACTGACCATCCTGACCTTCAGTCTCAGTGGACTCTGGCTGGAGGGTGGCTGGGCATGGGGGACAGGGCCACGGGCTGGAGCTCCGCAGTGGCTCTGATGTCACTGTCCTGGTCCTGGGGCAGGCTCTAAGCACCCCCGGGCTCTGAGTGCCACCAGACTCTGAGTGACGGGCTCTGGGCTCTGATGCCTGGGCAGCCAAGAGGAGGGCAGGACGCCCACACACTGTCCCCTGGGACGTCAGCAGCACTGAGGGCAGGGTCACCAGCCTCTGGGCTGCGTGCTGACTGAGCACCACAGCCTCGCTGCCCCAAGGAGATGGCCGACACACAGACGAAGGTGTGGCAGGCAGTGTGCGCCCAGACATCACTGTCGTGGACGACAGAGCTGCAGGAATGTTCTGGAGCAGGAGGGCGTGGGATGGCAGACTCCAATGGGTCCTGCGGGGAGGGCCTGGAGGGCGGTTGGGAGTTGACGAGACCTGGATACGAGGCCGATGTGGTTCAGGGATGGTGACGCAGGACGTCGGGGTCGGGCTGTGAGATGGGTCGCCGCCCTGCAGCTTGTGAGGTTAAAATTGTTTCCAGACAAGGAGAAAAGGATGAGCAGGATTCTGAGTCCACTCCCTACATTGCCACTTAACTTCTCTGGGCCTTGGTTTCCTGCTCTGCGAGGTGGGCAGAGTGTCTGGTCAGGGCTCTTGTGAGAGAAGCAAAGAGCTGAGGACCAGCCCGCAGTGCACCCAGGCCTCCGGAAATGCTGGCCAGTACGTGACATAGCAGCAGCAGTCCTAGTGGGGTACTGTCCACTCCCTTCTGCAGATGGCAGAACCGAGGCACAGAGAGGTCAAGTGATGACCCTAGGTCACACAGCAGGGAGTGGCAGGGTCATACCCAGCTCTGCAGCCTTGACCGCCTCCCTGGGACTGTGGTGAAGACTGAAGGAGGCTGCGCAGGGAGGGCTGTGCAGTACCCCTGGCCTGTCTTGCAGCCCGTGACCAGCTCCCTGGTGCAGTGGGATGGGCGAGGTGGCCCCCTGACCCTGTGCCCCCTGGGAGCCTAACTTGAGGAAAGGAGGACAGAGCTAATAGCAGTTTTATGTCCTTGTGGCTGACCATCCTTCTGGGTATTTCTTCCCATTCTGAGCTGTGAACGGTTAGCTCTGCCCCACCTGCCCCTCTCCGGGTTTCAGCTCAGGGCCCTGAGGTGGCCCAGGACTCAGTGGGGGGTGAGGAGCCTGGCTGTGCTCCTGCCCGCCCTGCAAGGAGGCCCCACGCTGCAAAGGGGTCAGGTCTGTTTGCTGAGCCCATCTCTCCCTGTCCCCAGATGAAGGTCGCAGTGTCCAGAGGGGGCGACAGTGACGATGACAGCTTCCATGAAGCCCCCAGCTCCCGGAGGAGCAGCTCTCGGGACCAGCTCAGTGACGTGAGTACCCTCACCCGCCCGCCCGCCCGCTGGGGTGGAACATTCCTGAGTCCTGGCGACCTGCTCCCGACCTTCAGCAGACACTGCCAGCCATTGGCTCAGGGCCCGAGAGGCTCACATGAAGGCTCTGTGTTCGCAATTAGCGTTTTGCCTTCATTAAAACGTGATTTTTCACTAATTAGGACTTCCCCATTAGGAGTGATTTAAATGAGGAACACAATTAGGTGCTGGCAGGAGCCTGTGGAGGAGGCCATGCAGGGGGAGGCCCTGCGTCCAGCAGGGGCCAGCAGAGGCAGGTGCCGGGTGGTGCCCGCACAGGGCTGCGGGTGGGGAGGCAGGGCTGTGGGTGGGGGGCAGCAACTCCCACAAATGTGTCTATTAAAAGTGGCAATGGTGGTGCTTCGGGCAGGGCAAGCGGGTCTGGGGACTGCAGGGAACATGCTGGAAGCCTTGTCGGCTTGGTGGGGGTGGGCATGGGGTGTCCGTTGGTGTTGGCCCACATGGAGGTAGGGGTGGCCCTGCTGAGGCACACACCAGCCTGAGTCTGGGGACAGGCCTCAGTGTCCTGGAAGACAGGTCCCTGAGCTTAGGATCCTGGGGGCAGGAGGGGCCTCAGGCCCTGTGTGGAGACTACCTGGGCAATGTGCAGGGGCTCCCACTTGAGATTTGGCCAGAGATGGGCAGGGTAGGTAGCCCTCCGGGGCTCCTGGGTCCCCCTCCCCACAGGGAGGTCTCAGGGCCCAGAGCTTGGAGGAAGGGCATGGGACAGGAAACACAAGAGCTAAGAATGGGGGCGGGGGTGCACAGGGAGAGTGGGGCCCCAGGAGGATGGAGCCCAGGGAGAGAGGCTCAAGGGTTGAAGGGCCCAGGGGAGGAGGACCAAGGAGGAGAGGGGCCCAGGGGGAGGCTCTGCCCCAGAAGAGGCCTTTGTCTTCCTTGACCCCTAGCTGCAGAAGTGGCCACAGAGCAGAGCTGGGTTTTCGGCAGGACTCACTTGGATGTGTCATCTTATCATTATTTAAATGGACCTGGGGGAGCTGCTGGCGGGAGGAGGGCCTAATTGCCCGGCCGGCGATCTTGCCGCAAGATGGGAAGGAGGCTGGGAATTGTCTGGGGCCACGGTTGCCCCAGTCCCAGCTCCTCTAATTGCCGCTGGGTGGATGAGGAAGGTTCCAGCACAGCACAGGCAGCTGTGAGGGCACAAGCTTGGGGCATTTATGGGCCCCCACCCTCTACCCCACTGCAGGGCCTTAGGAGGGGCCTGCCAAGGTGAGCTCTGCCAGCCGTGACCCCCAGGAGCCAACCTGGGACCTGGCCAGGGTCGGCCTGGGGAGGGAAGGGGTCCCATAGCTGCAGCCAAGGCTGGATGGGGATGCTCCGTACAGAGCAGAGCGTCCCAGCCTCAGTGGGAGGGGCCCCCACTCCCCCTGTGGTCACCTACCCTCCTGGAAGAATCTTTGCCTCGGGACCTTGGCTCCCACCCAGCTCTGGACCCTGGTCTGTGGGTCCCACACACCTCAGACAGGCTCTCCTCCCTGCCCACCCAGTCCCCAGGTCCTGTCTCCGCGCCCTGCCTCCACGGCTCTTGGTCCTCTCCTGCACCCTGCCCCACCAGCCTGTCCTCAGGGCTCAGCCCTAGGAGCTGCAGAACTCCCAGACCCACGTCCTAACCAGTTTCTCCCATCAGATCTGAAATGCCCATTCGAGCTGGAGGGAGCTCCATCAAGCACGATCAGGGCCACCCTTACAGGACCCCCCAGGTGGCTGCTGACCTCCAGGCCTCAGCTCACCCTAACATCATGGGCTCCAAGGTTGCTGTCCAGCTGCTCCTCCAAGAAGCCTTCCCTGAGGTCCCCTGACCCTGTGACCCTGGGAGGCTGGTGGGTGGCAAGGGCAGGCCAACCTCCCCTCTGTTCCGTGGCCATGTATAGGTGGAACCACATGTGGAAGACGGGACTGGGCCCTCTGAGAGGGGCCAAGCCCACACCCGGGGGGATGCTGAGCTTTGCCCACCTCTCTGTTGGGCTGGGCCACGTCTCCTGGGTCTCAGGGGGACGGTCCTGAGTAGGGGTCCTCAGACACGGCCACAAGGCTGTTCAGGGCTCCATGAGGCTCACTGTGTCATCCTCCCCATGGCTTCAGTCCCAGCCCAGTCCCCAGGGCCCGGAGGTTACAGCACCTGCCCCTGGGTCAGGCACTCGACCACTTAGGTCCTGGACATAGGGGGTGGTCCTCAGAGTGGGGCTGGCATGGGGGCACAACCCCTTCACTGACTGTCCTTCCTTCCTTCCCTGCAGAGCTCGGCGCAGGCGGTCTCAGGCAGAGGCTACTCCGTAAGTCTCCCACCCTCTGCTGTCCACGTCCTACACACCCGTCCTCCGGAGCCCTGACCCTCCTGGGCACTGCCCCCCAGGCCGGAGCCCTCACAGTGGTCCTGGCCCACAGCAGCAGGCTAGAAGAGGGGTTTGCACAGGGCTGGGGATGGGGCCAAAGCAGGTGGAAAGTCGGAGGGAGCGTTGCGCCTGGGGTCCTGCCCACGGGGGAGACAGCTGGCCCTACAGCCATGACCTCTGGAGAGTGGGGGGCAGGGCGGGACCCTCTGCCTCTGGGTCCTTTCAGGCGGCACTTGGAGTTGGGGGGGCCATGGGCTCAAGCAGCCACCCCGTAGCACCCTGATGCCCCCACACCATGCTCTGCTTGGCCAGAGAGCCTGGTGCTCAGCCTGGCCAAGGAGCAGGAGGGGCTGGCCTGCTGCGGCCAGACACTCCAGCTGTGCGAGGCCACCCTCCCTGCCCTAGCCCTGCCCCCTCCTCACGACTTTATTTCATTTCCTCTTAAGTATCAGGAGGAATGTTAATGACACCATAAAACCCAGAGCTCCATAAAAGCCATTTCTGCAGATTTATGGCTGATTCAGCTCGTTGGGGGGTGGGGCCTGGGCTCCACCCGCCTCATCCCACAGCCCTGATTTACTGGAGTGCCAGGGTTCCAGGGCCTGAGGGGCCGGCTCCCTAAATCACAGCCACTTTTTACAGGGTGTGTAATTAACCCATTAATTCCCTGGGGTACAGGGCCAGCCTGGATCCTCAGGCCCACCCCCAGCTGCCCTGACCCTGGGTCTGCCAGCCAAGCTCGCTGCCTTCGGCTTCTAACCCAGGTCAGGCAGTGTCTTTGAGGCTTTGGCCTGGCTCAAACACTGTGGGTGGCGGGGGTGATGGGTGCCACTCAAGGGGTGTCTTCCTGCGGACTCTGCCCTCCTTGGGCGCCTTCATGGTCTCGTCCATCCTGGCAGTTGTGGTCGATGGGCCCGTGCTTCTCCTCCCTCCCACGAGCCTGTGCAGCCCCCACACCACTCCCAGGCAGCGACCACTCCTAGAGTTGACCGTGTTGAGCGAGTGGCCCTCTGTCCAGAGCTGTGCCAGGACCGGGCTCCAGCCAGGAAGAGAGCAGGCTGCTCTGCCGGTGGGGGAGGCAGGCATGACTCGTGGTGTGACGCAGGCGGGTGGGCATTGCTGGGACCATGACGGGGACAGTAACGGGCAGAACACCCACCAGCAGGTGGGCCAAGGGGCATGTGCTGGTCCCAGGGCCAGGCCCAGGGACGCCCCCTTTGGAGCCTCCTGCCATGTCTGGGCCCCCAGGGCGGCTGGGGTCTCCCTGCATTGAGCTTCTTGCCAGAGCCACTGGGCTGCCCCTCTGCTTCCACATCGCTGTGCGTCATCCATGGTCTTCTCCCCAAAACACTGCTTTGAACGTTTCCTGGAGGAGAGTCCGTAATTAACACGCCAGCTGCTTGCCACTTAACCCCATGGCCGCTGCAGAGGAGTGACAGATGGTGGCTGGGAAGGGGCCCAGCCTGCTGCTCAGCCCCGGGGGGCCCCAAGTGATGTCTGCAGACGGCCCTAGGTGTGCATGCTGAACTCCGGCTTGTGCAGGCCCGCTCATTAGGCCCTGGTGTGAGCAACTGTGTCCGCTGGCGCCTGACATGTGCTGGCAGGCACCACAGGGCGTGCAAGGTTGACCCAGCTCCTAGTGGTCTCTTGTCCAGTTGGCGTGTGGTTGCAGGTGGGAGCTGGGCCCTCTCAGAAGCAGAGGCCAGGTGGAGGCTATCTGGCCCTGGCTGGAGGAACTGGAACTGGCCTTGGTGACCATTGCCCAGCAGGAAGAGGGGCAGGGCTGGGCAGTGCTGGGGCGGGCAGGTGGCCTGGCCGGGGGACTGCAGAGAGCTGTGAGCTCAACACCCAAATGTCCACATGTACCAGGTCCCCCTGGGCTGCATGCGGCTGTGGGCCCTGCCAGCCAGGGGGATGGGGGCTGCACTCAGGACGGTGATCCCCCCTCCAGGTCAGGACTTCGTGGGGCCTGAAGATGCACAGGTGCCCACTCAGGTTGGGGCCCCTCTGTGCACATATGTGCGCATGCGTTTATGCATGTTCCAGGGCGGGTCTGTGTGGCATTTGCACGTGCCTGCCCTGCATGTAGTTTGTGTGTGGCTCTGTGAGAAGGGAGCATGTGTTTTGTGTGGACACATGTCTGTCACACGTGAGGTGTGTCTCTGTGTGGCTGTGTTGGGGCTGTGCATGTTGCACCTGCTAGTGTCATGCATTTCTCTCTGGGCTATCAGCATGCGTGTCTGTGGATGCAGCAAACATGCGTGTATGTGCACGTGGGAGTGTGCCTGCCAAGTGTGGAATCTGTGTGTGAGTGTATGTCTAGGAGCCTGTGTCAGGATGTGGCATGGGTACATCTGCTTGTGGAAGACTGATTCTGCAGGCGTGCCGTGTGTGTGTGTGTGTGTGTGTGAGAGAACCATGACCACAGGGCATCGTGTGTGGGTGTGTAAGTGTGCCCCAGTGCCCCTTGCCACCTGTGTGTGTCTGCAGTGGGGTCCTCAGGCCCAGCAGGGGTCACACCCTTGCCTCTCCCCGACAGCATCCCTAAGGTCAGTGATATGGGCATTTGTCTTCTGACCTGGTTTATAGACGGTACTTAAAGTGGTTTAATTTGCTGAGATTTGTCCCCAGCAAATCCCTAATTATTGCTCATCTTCAACAGCTTCAGTCCCAAAAGCTCAGTGTGGCCTCCCCAGCACGCCATCAAATGTTCGTTAGTGCCATAAAATTAGTTAGAAAGTAATTTTCTTAATTTGGCTGCTTGCAACAAGGACATCACGACCCATCTCCCGCTGACGTGGGGCTTGGGGGTTTCCTTTATTAAAGAGAAATAAGGATCTAGATGCCTGCTGAGGCTTTGAGGCCAGCCCACCCTCCATACCCCAGTGCACAGAGTGTTCTGGAAGGGCCAGTGCCCGCAGAGGTGGACGACCTGCCATGAGCCCAGCGAGTCTCAGACGGCCTGGGGCATTGGCTCCTCTTGTCCTCACGGCCACCCTCCAAGCTGGACGATGACCCTCCAATCTCTAGATTAGGACACAGGCGCAGGGGTCAGAGAGTCCCCTGCAGGCACCCACCGCCCAGAGGGCCTCTGCTCAGGGCTGTGCTCTGAGGCGAGACCCTGGCAGGCAGGCCACGCCGCTCTGGACGTGCCCGGCATCCCACAGTCCCCTCCGTCCCAGGCGTCCTCGTCAGCCTCAGTCATCAGCAGGAGGAAGCCTGTCCTTATGTCCACCAAGCCCTCTGCCTGGACACCAGGCCCGAGCCTTCAAGCACCTCCCAACCCCTCCCCGCTCACCCATCACGCCAGGTCTTCTCAGCTGAGCTCGAAAACCTCCTCCCCTTCCTTTGGCTTGAGCGCCTCAAGGTGTGAAAGGAAGGTGCTTTTCTTAGTCCCTCCCCCTTCAACAAGTACTTGCTGAGAGTCAGCTCTGCCCCAGGCACCAGGGCTGGAGAAGAACCGGACAGCGAGGTCCCTGCCCCACGGGGCACACAGTCTAACAGAGAAGGTGGCAAATAAAGCAAATACACAGCGTCCCTACTCAGAGGCGGGGGCTCGTGCTGACATGTGTACACGCACATCCCTGTGGCCCTGGGCCACCACTTCCTCCTGGAAATGGTTGTCATGGCTCAGGCTCCTCACTTGGACTTCCTGGCAGGAGGGGCGCAGCCCTGCCTTCTGGGGCCCCAGGTACGAGGCTCACGGGCAGAGTCCAGGTGGGCCTGCGCTGAGGGTGGCAGAGAGGTGGCTGCCTTGGGACAGGGGATGGAGCTCAGGTGCCTGGATGGTCACCTGCAGACCACTTCCAGCTTTGCCCCCGTGAGCCGGGGACGGCTGTGGTGAAAGATGGGTGCGGCTCGTGAAGCGTTGGACAGCGGGTGGGTAGACGTGTGCAGTGGAGCCCTGGCCAGCTGCACTCTTGGGCGAGCGGCTGGGGAGGTGCCCAGGGGCTCCTGAGCCTCCCTGAGACCGGCCTGCCCCACACCCGCCCCCAGGATTGGCTCGGCACTCACAGCCTCCAGCGCCCCCCGAATGGCAGAGCTGTCTGCTGCTTGGCTAGCGTGGGCCTCTGTTAACCTGCTCCGCACTGTCAGCCCAGGGCGCAGGCTCTGGCTTTAAGAGACAGGTTTATGACATCCATTACCCTGCTCCTTGGGCCCTTCCAAGCGCCGGTAATCTGTACAAAAGCAATAAAAACCCGCCAGCCTCTCCCTGGAGTCCGGGAGCTGCATTCTCCTCCCGACCTCTGAGCACAGGACAGTCCTTAAGCCGGCTGCTGGGGCTGTGGCCACTACTTGGGGGATAGCAGGGCGCACCAAGCATGGTGTCCTTCTCTGTAGAGTCAGCGCCGGCCTGCACCTGGCCTGCCTCTTTTCAGAGGGTCCACTGTCCACTCACTTGTCCATCTGTTTGCTCGTCCATTCTTCTGTCCATCCATCCTTCACTCAGCCCAGCTCACAGGGGCCTGGGGTGTAGCCTGGCCGCGTTTGTCCAGTTGAGAACATGGAAGTCCTTCCTCTGGGTTGGTAAGGAGCCCTTACGGCTCTTCCGGTTGTCCAGCCCCTCTCCTGGCATGGCTGGGGGCAGGGGGTGTCCGTCCCAGCCGGTCAGCGCCGCCTGCTCCCCAGGCGGTTTTGCGATACTTTGGACATCCAGTCTTGGATATGTCCGTGGCTGTATATTCCTGGGAAAGCAGACCCTGATGGGGAGATCGACGTCGGGGGTTGGCCTTGGGGTCTACGCCTGTGGGAAGAGGGGCAGGAAGGGACAGGCTGCAGGTCCCAGGACAGCTAGAGTGCCCTTCGTTGCTGTCCCAGATGAGGGGATGTGGCATCAGGAGGGGCTTGGCTTTGAGGGCCTCTGCTCCTGAGCCTCCCCTGGGCGAGTGCTGCGGCCCCCTCTCCCTGCAGCTGGGGGCGGGTTCCTCCTGCAGGGGGCT